AGCACTTTCTCTTATCTTCTTCCTCAAGTTTATCCGCAAGCTTGTTGGATGTTCGGGATTAAGTTCATTCCTGTTCTTCAATTCGATTCAGTGCTAAATGCGTGATGAGGCGACTACTTCAAATCCGATCAGCTTAAGCCAGCCTATCAGAGTTTCGAGCACCACCGCAAGCGGATGGGGCAAAGCGCCGAGCTAATCGCAGCCAAACGATGCTTGCATGTGATACTGAAATGTGTAAGTTTTTAATTGTTAATCTTATTTAATCTATCCCTCATTGCACAACTTATTTTCGTGTGTCCCATCTGCAGAAAATTTCATTAAAAGTCTAGATGCAGAATCTGATTGCAATGAAAAAGAAGCAAAATCAAAAAGAAACTGTTTCAACTGCACCACGACACCATCCGCCGTATTTTCAGCTGACTTCGAGGCAAATCTTTCATCAGTACATCAAATTAGAAACGTGACTTCTTGTATCACTCCGTATCTTTTAAGAAACCTGACTTTTCTAGCTGTTCAATTTCAGTTTGACTATGAGAAGAAGGAATTACATTCGGCGCGTTTAAAAGAGCTGAAAACATTGGTCAGAAATCATTCGGATATCATTGTTGGTCTGGTGGAATATTTGCTCAAGATCGTTCGTCAAGAGAATAGCGATCGCCGTTTGGCTATACTCTTGATTTGTGACTGCTTCTTTCAAAGATCACACGCCTTCCGTGTAGAACTCACTAAGTCACTTCAGGTTACTATTCAATGTGCTTATTTTAACGATATATGAATATATACCTTCTTGGCTGTCAGCATATCCGATGTAGTTAGGTTCATCACATTCACATCCAAACCACTCAACTCATATCTTGTTACATTCATTATCCGCCAGTTCAATGTAACTATTGTAACTTTTCATTTTTACGTTCATTCAAAAGTATTAGAGCATCTAAGTCACAGCTTGAAGCGACGAATCACTGGGGTAATCAGTGTTTTTTACTGAGCGCTCCGATACTCCAAATGATATCTTTCCGGCAATCAGCCTATTTGCAGCA